CCCCCCCCGCCTCTCAACCTTGGCGATATATAATCACTGGTCCATTAGACGTAACATTTTGGACATTGGTTATAAATTATCCTTTAATATAAAGAATTTTTTCCAGTGTTTACCTATCTAAGCCCATCTAAGCCTATCTAAGCCCTATTCTAAGCTCCTAGGGCATAGGCCGTCAACGACAGTCCGCCAGAGATATCTGTTCTGAGCCACCCTTTCTAGTTGGCTCCATGACTGGCCGGTTTTTCTGATGTCAACCTCGAAGTCACGACATTAGGTGTTCCTTGGTCGCCCTCTCTTTCTCTTACCCTGGGGATTCCAGCAGAGGGCCTGTTTTGTGACACTTGATGTTGATTTGAGGGTGTGCTCCATCCCATTCCATCTTCGTCTTCTACTGGTATTTGGTTGGTCTCCCTCCAGAGGTCTGTATTGCTGAGGATGTCTGGCCAGCGGATCCGTAGAAACCTCCTTAGGCAGCTGTTGATGAATATCTGAACTTTATTGACAGTTGTTTTAGTGGTCCTCCAGGTTTCTGCTCCATACAAGAAGACTAACTTGACATAGTTAGAGCAGATCTAGAACAGCAGTGTGCATGAAGTTTATTCCATGAACCAAGGTAAGCCATAATACTCTCAGGGTCTGATTGCCAAGATTCCCATTCCCGCCCCCCTCGTTGTAATGCAGTTCTCTGGGTTGTCGTTTCTTCAGGATAATGTACATGAATATCGAAACAAACGACGTGGATCTGAATGATTCAATTTGAACTAAAGAATGAAAAGCAACAAAAACGCGAAGATAATTACGGTATACCCAGGTTTTCAATCGGAAAACGATTAGATTGAACTTAAGGTTATGAAAACCACGCGCCATACGGTTACGGTTACGGTTCTCAAAGCGTGGCGCGCGCGTCCTGCCCGCATTTTGTGATCCGGAAATCTTAGACTGCGAACAATCGCCCTTTCCTAGCTTTATACAGAGGCACCAAATCCCAGTAGTAATCAGCTAAATAGGATTATTAATGCTGCTAATAATTCGTCGCCGCACAAGATTATGAACGAAAGATGCACAGGAAGCGACATCTTCCCACTATGCTCGCGAGTCACCTGTTTACTTTCTCGCAAATTAAATCTGATTCCTGTGGTATTCGTCGCAATATCCACGTATGCTTTGTGGTTTATTACAGTTTCCTTGATTAGCTCCAAAGACGACCACAAATAATTACCGCACTGAGGCATTAACCTTCTATTTAGCCCCTCCTGCTCTTAAATAAACGTTCTCCCCGATCAAACCTTCCCTATCATCCGTCCTCCAAAGCATAAACTCATTAATAAAACCACAGGCAAAAAAATTCGACAATGACAATGGTATTTTTATACAGTTGGCCAAGGTTACTCACAATTTCCCAATATGTCCAGTTACGTTAAACATTTAGAGTATTTGTTATACCTAGACGAAACAATGGAAAAAATTAAATAACTCACAATAGGGCTCTCAATATTTTTTAACAAACATCTCCTCTTTGACAAGCCCCTCCTCTCCTATAACTCCCTGTCTGGAAATCGTTGAATTTTAATAAGTACCCGGAGGCTTATGGAAGCGTTTATCATAAGCTTACATTAATCAATTTCACCAACAACCAATAATCCCAGCAGCAGAAGTTTCCTCGTATAGGAAGTTCAAAACATGAAGTGCGATAAGACAATTCCGTGCCTGAGAGAATATTCAAAAGAACCAAGGAACCATTTAAACAAGAAGAAGTACTCACTAAATCTCTTATACGCAAATATTTCTGTTACGAAGCTCAAGTCTCTTTAAGTTTCTCTCAGTGACTTCTGACCAACATGACCTATGCGGCTAAAACACAACAAAGCAGAATTTTCCTGAAGATTCTCCCTTGTAAAGCAATGAACTATAAAAACAATGCTCTGGAGAAAAAAACAAATGCCAAAATTATCATCAAAATACATCTCCAAGAGCCTGAGAATTCCAAGCTAAGAACAAAATACCTGCATGATAATCTGCTCACGGTAATTAGCCGTCCGGTGTTGTCCTGTGTCCCTGACTGTTGACACAGTTTGAATGAATTGAAATTATCAATATCAGCCGATTAAATAAGTTTAGAACAGAACAATCAATCTAGCTAAATAAACGCGTTACTGTCCTGAGTGTATGATCACAAACATAAGTAGGTTGGTGGTATAAAAAATTTGAAGTACCGCAAATTCCACACTAATTGTTTGAAAATATTTCATGAACTACTCCTAGTCCTTGTGTTCTTCTTTTGCACGTCGAACAAGATTTGCTTTTCGATTTTAAAGTGTCGTTCAAATTCCATTCAATCGAGCCTGGCTCGCGCTCGGCGCGGCTTGACTCTCGGTCAAGTGAATTAAAAAAAAAAAATCCCCTCAAAAGAGTGTTCATCATATAGGTTTTATTGGAATTGTTCCAGTATACGAGCCCCGCGCGCCTATGAGCGTGAAGACGAATGTGTAAGGAAAATGTTGGCTTTTCAAATTCAATGGTTTAGCGACTATTAAAGATCAAAAAATTGTATGGCCCACTCATTTGCGGTTGGAAATTTGGTGAAAAGTTTTTCCCTTCTAAAAACTAAGATTATGATAAAAGAAGATCTTAAAAAAATTTTGCTGTCAGCTTCAAGGTAACTGAAGGAAAAACATTTTTCTACCCCGCAGTAGTAACACAGAAAGGTTTAGTTCATTGTCGACGAAGACCTCCACGAAACGCAAACGCGCGCTCTCTAATAGTCGAGAAATTCACCCACGCTTTGCGGTTTTCAGTTCACGCTTTGTAATTTTGATATCATTTGAAAGCGGTTCTCAGAGATAATGTGTCTTTCAGGATCTCGCTCCCCGCGTCTGTAAATCCATTGTCGATCTACAGACCCTTTTTCATCCTTTTTACGACTTAAATTGATGGAGGATCAGAAGGGAACAAGTAAATCTGCTTTCATTTTAGCTCTACGCAACAGGTAAATTGCCGGAAACGTATTTTTATTTTCTATAAGTATTGATATTCAAATGACGATGGTGTCAGAAGTGTTTACACAAGGTACCTCAGCTGGAACAATAAAGATCTGATCTAATATGCGAGGAAAACAAGTCTACTTTTGCGCGCGCGAAGTTTAAGCGGTAAAATCTAACAACTGCTTCATCCAAATTGCAACTTTAAGCATAGTAACATGTAAAAGTCACTATTTTATTCTTCAAAAGAAAACACCTGAAAGAGTCTTGTTTGAAAAGAGCCGTGAAAGTGAGAATGACCTTGTTATTTTTATACAGATGGCCAAGGTTACTTATAATTTCCCAATATGTCCATACGTCAAACATGTTGAGTATTTGTTATACTTAGACGAGACATTAAAAAAGATGAAATGATTCACGATCGGGATCTCAATATATTTTTTTAATAAACATCTCCTCTCTGACAAGTCTCTCCTCTCCTATAATCTCCCCGTCTGGAAGCCGTTGAATTTTAATAAGCCCCCGGAGGCTTATGGAAGCGTTTACCATAAGCTTACAATAATCAAGCAGAAGTTTCCTTACATAGGAAGTTCAAAACATGGAGTTAATAAGAGCATTCCGTGTCTGAGAGAATATTCAAAAGAATCAAGGAATCACAAAACCATGAAGTACTCACTTAAGCTCTTATACGTAAGCATTTCCGTGTTACGAAGCTGAAGTCTCTTTAAGTCTCAGTGATTTCTGACCAACAGTGTATGACCTATGGTTGGAAATTTGGTGAAAAGTTATCCCCTGCTAGAAACTAAGACTATGATGAAATAGAATCTTAAAAATTTGCTGTCAGCCCCGGAGTAACTAAAGAAAAAACATTTTCCTAACCCGCAGTAGTAACACAGAAAGGTTTAGCGCATTGTTGATGAAGACTTCCACGAAACGCACACGCGTGCTCCTCAATAGTCGAGAAATTCACCCACGCTTCACGGTTTTCGGTTTACGCCTTGTAATTATGATATAATTTGGAAGCGGTTCTCGCTCCCCGCGTTTGTAAATCCACCGTCGATCTACAGACCCTTTTTCGTCGTTTTACGACTTAAGTTGATTGAGGATCAGAGGAAA